ATTCTATTCTATTCTATTCTATTCTATTCTATTCTATTCTATTCTATTCTATTCTATTCTATTCTATTCTATTCTTATTCTATTCTATTCTTTATTCCTCTATTGTATACATACATACATACATACATACATACATACAAACACATACATACACACTCATATATACACACACATATATATATACACACACATATGTACATAAACACACACACACACATATATGTGAAAGGGTGTTGGGCAATTCCTATGATGGCTTAAGGGCATTGTCCTGGTTTGGATCTTGGGTGAAGGCTAATCCTATCACTGCCTTTGTTCGGACTTTGCTGCAGGGAATTCAAAATATCCTGTCTTGAATGGATTTCTGCCTGCAGTATTTGCTTTGCCTATGAATAGAGCTACCTATCTCTTAAGTGCTGATGTCTGCTCAGGGCTATTAAGAAAGATGGGGGCTGCTTTCTCCCTCTAAAAAAACCCCATGTTTCTTCATTTCTCATCCAGCCTTTTTAGTATTTCTCAGAGTATTTCATTCTTCTAGGAGAGGAGTGGGTGATAACTTTCTACGATGCTGTTTGAAACATCACTAAAAGAATGGCCCTAAGGCAAAGACTACTTGCCCCGGGGTGGGAGGAAATATGCACCAAATATTTGACTCTGTGATTTACAATGAGATGGAAAAGCAACCTAGCTACAAAAAATGTTCCCACCCTCTTCACTGATGACGTAAAACTATTTAACACCACTGAAAATGCCGTTGCCTTACAAAGGGACCTTGACTATATGTCAGAATGGTCGAACAATTGGCAACTTCAAATCTCAACCAACAAATGCTCTGTCTTACATATTGGCAACAAAAACCAGAACACTAAATACAAATTGGGTGGATACAACCTCGTAGACGACCCTCACTCTGTCAAGGACCTACGAATACTCATTGCAAAAGATCTAAGCCCCAGAGCTCACTGTAACAGCATTGCCCAAAAGCCGTTAACCTAATTTTGCGATGCTTCTTCTTCGGTAACATTGAACTGCAAACCAGGGCATACAAAACCTTTGCTAGACCAATACTCAAATACAGCTCATCTGCCTGGAATCCACACTGTATAATGGACATTAATACAATTGAGTGAGTCCAGAGGTATTTCACGAGAAGAGTACTCCATTCCACTGCTCGCAATAGAATACCTTATGCTACCAGGCTTGAAATTTTGGACCTGGACAACCTAGAACTAGGCCGCCTATGGTCTGATCTAAGCTCAGTACACAAAATTGTCTGCTACAATGTCCTACCTATCAACGACTACTTCAGCTTCAACCACAATAACACTCTGGCAAACAATAGATACAAACTCAAAGTAAACCGCTCCAAACTCTGTTCAGAGTTTTGCAGTGCTAATTCAGCACCAGAAAAATAAACACAGGTGGCTGATGCTTCATTTAACATCTTTATAAACATAATAAGTAGATTTTACAAACCAGTTGTAGATTTCTCCAACATGGAGCCAACTCAGATAGAAACATGTTGCAAGTTGGCAGTTGCGGCAACATGTTGCAGCAGGCAAGCAAGCAAGTAAGTTTCATTTTCAATAGACAGACTCAGAGCTCAACATAGCTGAAGAGCTGCAGAGCTTAATATAGAGCCATGCCTAGGCTACTTCTAGTTTCAGTTTCCAGCCTAGGCTACATCTAGTTTCAGTTTACAAACTGTCCTCATTGGCTGATTTAGTTGCTATGCCTATTCAGTGGCTAACCTTACTACCATGCTCTATTCCAGTTCATGAATATACTCTGATAAACTCAATTGCAGAAAATACGACTTCAGCAACAGAGTGGTCAATGCCTGGAACGCACTACCTGACTCTGTTGTTACATCCTCAAATCCCCAAAACTTTAACCTTAAACTGTCTACCATGGACCTCACCCCATTCCTAAGAGGTCTGTAAGGGGGCGTGTATAAGTGCACCAGCGTGCCAACCGTCCCTGTCCTACTGTTCCCATTTATTCGTACTCATTTATTATGTATATACTTATACACGTTTATACTTATAAGTTTATACATTCTGTTCATCTTATAGTTGTTTTCTCATACATACTTGACCAACTAAACAAAACAAAATAAATAAATAAATCCCCAGGCCCAGAATACAAAGAAGACTTTTCCCCCCCCCTCTTACTCTTTGTTACATTCCTCCTTCTCTTCCTCCACCTTCTCAAGCAACGGGACAACGGAGCGGCTTTCCTGCAAATCTTCTGACCTTCCAGAACTTTCCTCCAGGCATTGGCCAATTGCATCGTTTCGATCAAAATCCCCATTTATAGCCTCTAATTTCCTTAGCAGGTTGCAAGTCTCACGTCCGGCCTCATCCAAGGTTCCTTTGATTCCTGCCTCGGTTTCTTGAGCGGGCATCATCAGAAAATGTTCTGTAACCATCTCTTTGGGATTTGGGGACACTGTGATCTTTTTCCCACCGTCTCCCAAAATGAGGTTTTCATGGATTTTCTCAGCGGAGGAATCCTCTGAGTAAGAATCCTTTTCACGGCCATTCTTTGGCACCGGACACAGTTCTTCTGATTTATTGGGATTTTCACTGTTTACAAGCACTGGTCCTTCCTCTTCCTTTTCCAATTCTTGTTCCTGGAAGGGAACCAACTTCTCCAGCTCTGCCGCCTGCTTTTCCTCTGACCTGCTCCCATTTTCTTCTCCACGTGGAGAGGGAGATGGAGAAGGGAGCTGACTCGTAGATACATGTAACAGCGTATCTCTTTCCTCCTTGGTGCCATCCCTAGGAGAATTCACGGACCCATCTGGGCTGTGTTGGTCACCATCAGGTTTTCCAAGCAGCTCATTTTTGGACTTTCCAAGGTCTTCAACCAGACGCAGCAGATGGGTGCTTAATCCCTGAAGCCACCTTACCAGGAGCTCCCATTCTGCAAGAGCAAACACAAGGATTTTTTTAGGAGCAATTCCTTTTTGGGGGGAATATGTACCCTGTTTCTCCAACAATATGGCCTCCCCCAATAGGAAGTCCCAGCATGTTTTATAGGCATGAAATGAAATTAAGCCCCTCCCCCCAAATTAAGGCCTATATTAAAACATGCGAAATGGGGGGGAATGGCGGGGGGGGCTTGCCGTTAGGAAGTACTTTTGTTGCACACCCGGATATGGTGCTGCCTGCGTTGACCCCAATATGAAGTGCCCCACCAATGCCGAGGTCAACATCCAAGCCGTCGCTGCCCGCCCGCCCGAAGATGCAAGGGGGGGAATTAAGTCACCCCTGAAAAGACGGCCTAGCCATTTTTGGGGGGCTCAAAAAAAAAAAAAGACCCAGCCTTATTATATGAGAAGCACGGTATGTATGTATGTATGTATGTAGGTATGTATGTATGTATGTATGTTTGTTTGTTTGTATGTATGTATGTATGTATGTATGTATGTATGTAGTTAGTAACCACCTCTCTCCTAGAAAAATGAAATGTCCTGGGAAACATTAAAAAGGCAGAATATTTCCTCTAAAAAGAGTAGAAACTCAAGAGCAGAAACTCACCTCAGAAGTAGAAGCTCACCCCTACCTTTGTTAATGGGTGGGCCATTAAGGCCTGGGCCAGAATACTTTACATAACAAAGATCTCCAGGTAAAGCTATAGCAATTGCCAAAAGCCCTTTTCAGTGCATCATCATCATCCAGCAAGGCTCAATCAAGCCTGGGACTCAGGACAGCCTTAAGAGTTGCCCCTGCATGGCCTCATGGGAGTCTGACAACCAATCAGAATACAAGCTCCAGTTCAAATCCCAACAAAGGTGATAAAACTCAGGCACTCTCAGCATCTCAGCCCTTCTGGACTTTCTCTTCTTTCACCTTGAAGCATGTGACCTTCAAGCCACGTGGTCCTGCTGTCCACCATTAATCCTTCCAAACAGCCTCCATGTTTCCAGCGTCTTTTTTCCCACTTGGAACTGAACCCAGAAGGATATTCCAACATGTATTACAAACTATTCTAAAAATATGAGTTCCAGATATACTTGTAAAAGAAGAAACAGATATCCTGCAATCTCTGGAACTGAGGTTGTTGCCCGTGATATAGCTAAAGGAGGACGCCTTCTAAAAGAAGCCTGATTTTCCAACAGCAATTCTATCAATAGGCATATCAAACTACCACCGACCTACCAAGCACTGACACACCAGGAAAGACCCTGTAGGAGGAGCAGAGACCACTTCCCATTGGGGAGCAGAGACCGATGTCATCCCCGCCCCCAACACTGCTGGGCATGTCGACTCATCCTATGAAGGCACAGCCAGGCCTGTCCACATAAAGAGGAACCTGGCAGAGCTGCCTCAAGTTATAACAGACAAGAATAATGAAGAATGAGCCAGGCCAACCACAAGGTCACGAGCAAAGCAACAAATTGCAATAGCTGGCAGTTTAACATCACCTCCTAGAGATAAGCGTTCCAGGCTGGGTCGGACAAGGGAGGAAAAAAACAACAAGAGATAAGCCTCCTTTGACCAACATGACCAAAAACAACAGAGCTAATTACAGATGGAAGGTGGTGGGAAGGGCCTATCTCACGTGCAAGGGCTAAATTGATTAATGATATATAAAGGCAGATATCTCTGTAACGGTAGCTTAATACTTTGACGATGTCAGCAGAGGCTGACAAAAGCTTAGTAAGTACATTAAATGTAATTTTAAGTTCCGGAGATCGCAGGATGTATGTTTCTTCTTTTACACACACACACACACACACACACACACACACACACACTGTAAAAAATAATCTACTGCAGGAAGAAACAAGTCCTAAAGGCTGGCTTTTCTTTTCTGTAATATTGTGTGTGTGTGTGTGTGTGTGTGTGTGTGTGTGTGTGTGTGTAAAAGAATAAACATACATCCTGTGATCTCCGGAACTTAAAATTACATTTAATGTACTTACTAAGCTTTCGTCAGCCTCTGCTGACATTGTCAAAAGCTGGGACAAGTAACTGTAAGTAATATATGTATATATGTATATATATATATACATACACACATATATATACACATATATATATTACTTACAGTTACTTGTCCCAGCTTCTGCCAACATAGCAGTTCGAAAGCATGTTAAAAAAATGCAAGTAGAAAAATAGACATATATATAGATAGATAGATAGATAGATAGATAGATAGATAGATAGATAGATATAGATATAGATATAGATATAGATATAGATATAGATATAGATATAGATATAGATATAGATATAGATATAGATATAGATAGATAGATAGATAGATATAGATATAGATATAGATATAGATATAGATATAGATATAGATATAGATAGATAGATAGATAGATAGATAGATAGATAGATAGAGATAGAGATATAGATAGATAGATAGATATAGATATAGATATAGATATAGATATAGATAGATACACACACACACACACACACACACACACACACACATATATATATATTCTACTTGCATTTTTTTAACATGCTTTCGAACTGCTATGTTGGCAGAAGCTGGGACAATAACTGGAGTTCATTCCATTACGCGGCGCTAGGGGTTCGAACCGCCAAACTGCCGACCTTTCTGATCGACAAGCTCAGTGTTTTAGCCACTGAGTCACCCCGTCCCTTTGATTCATAGGCGTACTCAAAATGCAATATGGACCCATATTCCTGGTTGAAAAAGATCAAGTATTACTTGCCTGGGCAGGATACCTCTTGCTGATGTTGATCATAGGCTATATTCACCAACTGGCAGGTATTCTGAAGAACTTCAGTTGTGGACTCCAATTGTTGACTGAGAGTTCTGACCAGAACCAGAAGGAGAGAAGTTAATTTTGATGGACGTTCCATAATTTTCTCGCCGTCCTGATGGTTTCTTTTCAGGACAGATTTCTTCAATCTCAGATTGTAATGCTGGATTTCCTCCAATATGCCATCTGGATGGTTGATGATAGTTTCCATGACAAATTATTAAACAAATAGCAAATTCTCTCTCTCTTTTTTCCCCTTCCTCCTTTTTACAATGAGACAAAATTTCACTCTTTCCGTTCTTCCCAACCAGTTTTGGAGAAGAGTCCTCTTGGCAAGGAAATGTTGAACTGCTGTTGATGGCAAAGAGTTACTAGGTGATAAACGGGTGTGGCTTTGTCAGAATGAAGCTCAGTGGAGTAAGATTTGGATTAGGTTACAGGTAAGGATGTGGTTTAAAAGGTGAACTGATGACACTGCTACCTTTGTGTGTGTGTGTGTGTGTGTGTGTGTGTCTATACACACACACACACATGTGTATGTGTATATGTGTGTGTGTATGTATATACGGTATACATATGCACACATCTACATATATGTGTATGTGTACACACACACACACACACACACACACAGGTGAACAGTTCTACCCCATTTGACTTCATTGTCACATCAATGCACTTCCGTATTGGTCTTAACATGCCTAGGAGATTTTACTATTATTGTAATTAAGGGGTATTCCATCCTGCTCCTATTCCTCACCCCACACCCTTCTAGTACTGATCATGTTACCTAGTTGGGTAATGAAACATCTGCAAAAAAACAACCAAGCTCAAAGACCACAAGGACCTCATAGTCTTCCTCCCTCCTCCTCCTTTTCCCCCTCCCCTCCTCCTCCTCTTTCCCCTTCTCCTCCTCCCTCCTCCTTCTTTTTCTCCTCCTCTTCCTCCTTTCTCCTCCTCCTCCCTTCTCCTTTCTCCTCCCCTCCTCCTCTTTCTCCTCCCCTCCTCTCTCTTCTCCTCCTCCTCCTTTTTCTCCTCCTCTTCCCAACATACTACTGCAATTGATTTTAAAGCCTGCTCACGTTTTGTTTTACTGTTTTGTAGAGATGTACTGTAATCTTAGAATGCTTCTGCTGCTTTTAGTCAACCTTTGATCTTTTTCCTCTAGCCGGAGGCTTTTTTTTTTTTCAAGGCACTTTGATTACGGCCCTTAACAGTTGATAATACTTATCTCAAGGCCTTAAACCTTTTACCTTGAGTCCAACTTGTTGTAAACAATGGAACAGAGCACTCAGGATTCTCCTAAGAAGCCCTACACGTGTAGTTTTTCAGTACGAAGCATAAAACATGTGCCGTGCAAATGCTAATTATTATTATTTTTGGACAAGCTTCCTTTTATTCCTTTTTAAAAAAAGACATATCCAATCAATCTTGATTCTTGTTGAAGAATGAGCCACAGTGGCACAGTGGTTTGAGTGCAGTACTGCAGGTTAATTCTGCCGACTGCCAGCAGTTCAGCAGTTCGATTCTCACCAGGCTCAAAATTGACTCAGCCTTCCATCCTTCCGAGGTGGGTAAAATGAGGACCCAGATTGTTGGGGGAAAGAGGCTGACTCTGTAAACCGCTTAGAGAGGGCGGTAAAAGCACTGTGAAGCGGTATATAAGTCTAAGTGCTATTGCTAGTCCTTACTTCCTTCTTCTCTCCCTCCTTGAATGCAGGATTACAGGCTGACTCTGCCAACTGCCACCAGTTCAATCCTGATCGGCTCAAGGTCGATTCATCCTTCCATCCTTCCAAGGTCAATGAAATGAGGACCCAGATTGTTTGGGGGGGGGGGGCAAGAAGCTGACTCTGTAAACTGCTTAGAGAGGGCTGTAAAAGCAGTATAAAGTGGTATATAAGTCTAAGTGCTTGTTGCTTGCTTATTGTAATGAAGGAAGATTATTTTTATGGCACTGTAGTGGAATTCCACATGAAAACTTGTGGGGAGTCCTTGGAAGCAAATCCGATTCAATTCAGTGGAATGAACACTTTGATTAAAAATCTGACCACAAATACTATTTTTTTGTTTGTTTAATCAAGTCACTCAAATGTGCTTAACCCAAGCAGTTAGCCAGAAAATGCCTGTGTTGGCATAGCATGGTAAGAAGGTTTATTTTATCTTCTGGATGTATCTTCTGTTGCATGAATGGGAGCTCTTAATCCTGATTGTGTTGTGTAAACCCTGAAATGGGGCTTAATTTAGTAGCCTGGTTACACATGTAAAGAGAAGACAATCAAACCACCAACCCCTCTCTAAAACCCTTGAAGGAGGAGGAAGGTGTGATGGTTATGTTCCCTGCCTTAAGTTATTTACAAGGGGAAAAAAGTGGGAAAAGAAAAAGAAAGAAAGAAAGAAAGAAGGAAAGAAGGAAGGAAAAGGAGGGAGGAAGGAAGGTAGAGAAGAAGGGAGGAAGAAAGGGAAAAAAGAAAGGAAGAAAGGAAGAAAAGGGAAGAAGGGAGGATGGGAAAAGAAAGAAGGAACGAGAAGAAAGGTAAAGGGAAAAGGAAGGGAAAGAGGCAGGAAGGTAGAGACGGAGGGAGGGAGGCAGAAAAGGGAAAGGAAGGGAGGGAGGGAGGGAGAGAGGAATGGGAAGAAAGGAAAAAGAAAAAAGGGAGGGAGGGAGGAAGAAAAGGATGAAGGAAAGGAAAGCAAAGGGAAGGAAGGAAGGAAGGGAAAAGAAGGGGAAGAAAGGAAAAAGAAAAGGAAGGAAGGAAGGAAGAGAGGGTGGAGAGAAAGAAAGAGACAGAGAAAGAAAGAAAGAAAGAAAGAAAGAAAGAAAGAAAGAAAGAAAGAAAGAAAGAAAGAAAGAAAGAAAGAAAGAAAGAAAGAGTCTTTCCAGCGCTAAAGAGCCTGCTTCGGATGGATGGCCTGCCTTGCCCGGGCTCTTCCTTCCCCACAGGCCAGGGAGCGCTCTACCCGTTGAACTTCCGACTGGCACAACCCTCGAAAGCGCCAGGAACAGAAGCGGCGGCGATCGCCTCCGATCAACCTTCTCTGCCCACAGCCCACGCGGGGTTCCTGCGCGCCGCGAAGCTCGGCGGCGGCCAGGTGGCCCTTCCGCCTCCGGCTGGCTTTAGGTGGCGTCTGCCTGGTCGCCCAGCCCTTCCTGGGGCGCTTTCCCGAAGCCGGCGGAGGATGGGCCCGGCCAGGAACGAATCAGGAAGGAGCAACCGAAGAGGAGAAAGAGAAAGTAAAGACTTCCTCGGAGTCACTTCCTTTCCCCCAGCGAGGTCGGCACGCTGCAAAAACCTCCAGGTAAGCAGGAAGGCGCGATCGGCTGCGTTCACATGACCCCGCGGGGAGGAACTCGTGTCCAGCTTCTCTCTCCTAGAAGCCTTCAAGGATGCGGGGGGGAGAGAAAGAGACGGAGAGAGAAAGAGAGAGAGAGAGAAGACAGGAGGGAGGGAGACAGACGGACGAGAAAGAAAGAGAGATGGAGGAGAGAGAAAGAGGGACGGAGGTAGACAGAGACAGACGAGAAAGAGAGGGAGAGAGGGGGGAGAGAGAAAGAGAGAGCGAAAGAGACAGAGACGAGAGAGAGAAAGAGAGAGGGGGAGAGAGAGAAAGAGAGAGACGGAGAAAGAGAGAGGGAGAGAAAGAGAGACAAAGACAAACAGAGCGAGAGAGCTGTGGAAACGGGCCGAGCGCCTCAGCTCCAAAAGTTGGAACCACTTTTACGCGCACCAAGTTGATCCAAAGCAATCGCTCTCTTGGGGGCTGAACGGGATCTTTGCTTTCTCTCTCGTGGGTTAGGGTACCCTGGTCGCCTGGGCTCCCGTCGGGAGAGGGAGACGGCGGGTCTCCCTCTTTACCGCTGTAATGAGTTCGCCTCCGCTCAGGTCCCGGTCCGCGGCCGCTCGGCGCAAAGTTGGAGATACTATTACGCGCACCGAGTTGGTCCCAAGCGATCGTTTCCGATGCTTGAAATGGTGATCTTTTCTTCCTCTCTCGCGGGTTAGGGTGCCCTTGGTCGCCTGGGGAGCCCGTCGGGAAAGGGAGACGACGGGTCTCTCTCTCTCTCTCTCTCCCTCCCTCCCCCCACCCAACAGGCAAGATTTGTTTTCTCTCCCCATGTACATGTTTACATCCAAACTAAACTGTGTTCTTTCTCCGTGTCATATAATATATGTGGGTACATGCATAATTTTGTATTTACTTACTTACTTACTTACTTACTTACTTACTTACTTACTTACTTACTTACTTACTTATTTATCCGTTTATCTGTTTATCAATTTATCCATCCATCCATCCTCCCTCCCTCCCTCCCTCCCCTCCTTCCTTCCATCCATGCACCCACCTACCTATCCACCCACCCACCCACCTACCCACCCACCCACCCACCCACCAACCTACCTACCTGCCTACCTACAGGTATTTATTTATGTCTGTCTGTATGCATGTATTTATAAGGGATGCGGTGGTTCAGTGGCTAAGACGCTGAGCTTGTCGATCAGAAAGGTCGGCAGTTCGAATCCCTAGCGCCACGTAACGGAGTGAGCTCCCGTTACTTGTCCCGGCTTCTGCCAACCTAGCAGTTCGAAAGCACGTAAAAAAAATGCAAGTAGAAAAATAGGGACCATTTTGGTGGGAAGGTTACAGCGTTCTGTGCGCCTTTGGTGTTTAATCGTGCCGGCCACATGACCATGGAGACGTCTTTGGACAGTGCTGTATCTTCTTCGGCTTTGTAACAGATGAGCACCGCCCCCTAGAGTCGGAAACGACTAGCACAGATGTGCGAGGGGAACCTTTACCTTTGCTTTTATGCATGTGTTTATTTATTTTCTCATGTTCATGTAGTATATGTTAGAGGTGGAGACCCTTGGAGAGCTGTATGCCATGAAATTTCATTTTAATGTATGCCAACTAGTGTGCATTCAAAATGACAATAGAGCTATTCGAAGTCTAAAGTCGTCAAACTCAAAGGGCACCAAACTCTCTGCCGTTCAAGCCTGAACTACAAAATACAGCTAGCCCCCCACTTACAATGGTTCGTTTAGTGACCATTGGAAGTTGCGCTGCCACTGAAAAAGTGACTTATGACAACTTATCACAACACATAGTCAACTTCTATGCTAGATCTGTGCTTCACATATATAGATTAGATAGAGATATAGAGATAGAGATGATGGAGATAGAGATGATGGTGTTAGAGATAGAGATGTA